TCAAGAAGGTGGATAAAAACAGTAGCCTCTGTGTATACGACTACCGCCTCGTGACTTTGAGCCCTGGGCTAGGGTGCCTAAAGAGGGGCCTCACCATTCATATATTGTTGGATCGACGACAAAGGATCTCTGATGACATCACTTTTGATTGCTAATTTTAAAATTAGACAGAAAAGCCAAACCTCATCCTCGCCCTACCCTCATGCTTGCAACACTTCTTCATTGGTTGGCGGACAGGAGGAAGTAGGTTTCACTAGGCAACGCTTGCAAAAATGACTTTCAAGGTCTAAATCGGGATGCTTACCTGCAGAGGGGACAGGGGACGAAGAGGGAGTTCTTTCTCATTTCAGTAAGATCCTGTACCTTATCATGGAGAAACCGTCGGTACCCCACATTACTTACGCTTGGGGCATCACATGTATGTCAAATTACATCCTATTTTTCGTATTAGAAACTGGCGTCACAAATGCGAGCAACTCGGCAGCCACTGAGGTAGTTCTCTCCTCTTTTGTGCTGCTGCATTTGTCGAGAAGTTTGTAACCCCTCCATTGCACGAGTGCATTCTTGATTATCATAGGTGACACTTTCTAACCTTTGCAGTTTTGTATTTTTTGCATTCCTTGGATCCTATGCATATTAAACTATTTCGTACAATCATAATCATTTATTGCTTTAATTATACCGAAATGCATTACTTGTTAATTAGTCCAGATTTCAATACATGTCTTATTCGATAGTCATGCTTTTCATGAAGTTTTCTGTAATACGGCTGAGAGAAAATTATTCTATCTGATTAGATGATGTTAACACTATCTATTTCGACTGGGTTTTTTTGTAATTTTATCAGTTGTCATAAAATCGCTTAGTCTAAATTAAAAAAACCAAATTTGTTACGAGAAATTTCTTGTTATATTTCTTCAGTGCTAATAATCTACTTTTCTGTAAAATCAATCATGTGCCAAAATTTTCTGCATGGACTGATGCTTTTTGCCTTTGCCTTTATTTTACTTAGTCTCTTCCAGAAGCTAAGGAATTGTCGTGATATTTCGTGGCTGCGTGATAACAATTTGTTTAAATGTTGTTGAAATGCTCTGCTTTCATCGTTCTCGAAAGTGTGCTTTCCACCCCATTGGTTAGACAGTGACCTCTGCGGAGATAAAAACTATCTTTTGCAAAACGAATACGCGGCATAAGAGAAAGGTCTAAACAAACAGAGCTTCCTTATATACGCTAACTGCAAATGCAAGTCTTACAGATTGCGACAAACCTGAAAAAA